ACGCGAGCTTCTATCGACGCGTACTCGAGCCAGCAGCAGCAGGGTTGAAGTTATTGATGTTGTCATCGCTGTCGTCGTCCTTGCGGGGGATGATGGGCCCCGCTTCTAGTATCAGGTCTCCATCGGAGTCGTCTTCATCGTACTCGTCGTCTGCCACCAGCACTCTCGCCCCGTCCACCTTCTTTACCACCTGCGGAGGTCCCACTGCTAATACAGTATCACCTTCTTCGAATTCATCGCCCAACTGGATGGCACCTCCACCTGCCTCCTCTTCTTCTATCTCGGCTGCACTGTCAACCTCCTTTCGGAACCAATACCGCAGGCCTACGGGAATCATGACGCCAATGACGACCGCTGCAAGTCCAAAGAAGTTCCGCCAACTGATGAGGTGGAAGTCGTCGGCGCTCGTCATCTCATCTAGGCCGCCGCCAATGGTCGTATGGATCACGGATACGCCAAGGATACCGAGCGCCGTACTGATCCAGAACGGAACGAGGCCAATTCCCACATGAGGGCATACAATGTTCACGACCCAATGCGGCGGCAGCGGCGCAATACGCAGCACGATGAGGAAAGAGATCATATTCTCCTTGTTCGCCTGGATCTTAGTTGCCCACTTGTCTAGGAGGGCTTTCCACTTGGGCAAAGTGAGGAGAGCGGGACCAAGGGCGGCAGAAATGAGATAGCAGAGGGAAGCACCAGTGGCTACGCAACAGCAGGCAAGAGGGAGGGCGCGCGGGACGCCCCAGACGGCGCCACCGAGGATAGACAGATACATGGATCCCGGGAGGGAAAATGCTTGGAGGCTGTGTAGAAAATCCGATCAGCCGTGGAGCGCACAGTATCAAGAGGAGGTGAAACAAACAAGAGGTATGTGATCACGTAGCATACGACAATGCGGTAAGGGTAAATATCACGGTATTTCTTCAGTAGCTTGTTGAGGTCTTGCAGTTGTGCGAAGGACTTGGGGATGCGTAGTTGAGGACGGTCCGCTCTGTGGACAGCATTAGTCATTTTATACACCGTTGACGCGGGCCACTTGCTCTTCTAGAGTAGGCAGCGCAAGCCACAGAGCTCCACTGAGCAGGAGAGTGCTGACAATGAAGATGGCAGCCATCTTTAGTGTAGCATTTAGAATGACTTTGCGAGAAGAGGGGCGGGATGGTGAGTGGGGGTAGTTGGAGGTGCCATATGAGGGGGTTGCTGGGGTAAGGAGCGGGGAGCGGTCGTTGTGGTCACCGGAGTCGACGGTGTCGAGAGTATAGGTCGATTGGTTACCGTGTTCCGTCCCGACAAATACGAGATTCGGCGGTGGCATAGTGGTTGTGTAACAAGTGGAATCACCCAATTCCGGAGCTGCGCATCACGAACAAACCCTGATCTAGGGTTCCACCCGGAGGCTGTTCACCGCTCCTGGCACTCAAGTCCCTTTCATCCTCTATATTATGTATCCAATTAAAAGAATATAAGGTACAACAATCCATCCATATATGTATCAAGTCCAATGCGAGTTGTTTAAATATAAATGGCGTATGATCCAATAACAGGCCGATGGTCACTCCTGCCCTCAAGACGCCGCATTCCCCTGTCGTCGAGAGTATCGTAGCTCAGACACACAACATCACCCTTGCGCGGCGGGGCGGGCGGTGGTGCTACATCCGCAGTCGTGGGTGGTTCCATCGACATGCTACTCTGTGTCGAGTTGTAAGAGAAGAAAGAGGGGAGGAAGCGCCATCGGGATGACAATGTTGGTGTCTGGGCAGACAGAGGAGGGGCATAATGGGTGGTCATGGGCATCGGCGTGGCCGCGGAAGCAGTGGCACGCCGCATCGGTTGATGGTCGTGGCCCGCTGGGTAAAATGTGGCGGAGTTCGTGCGTCGTAGACCGAAGTCAGGATGAGTATGATGGCGAGTCGGAGAGGTTGGTCGTTCATTCGACTTCACCTGAGACAGTCGCGCGAGGGGGGCAGATGATAATTGGACGGGGCGGGAGAAAGGTGTAATGTCCTCATGGACGCGGGGTTCAGGGGAAGTGGAGGGAGAGTGCGAGTCGTCACAGGAGTTGGATGTTCTTGATGTTGCAACGGATGCGAGAGAGTCTTTGCGCACACGTGCTGAGAGGGGTCGGAAGGCGTTCACAAAGAACTGGCCCATGCGGTTTCGAGGTCGGGTCTGAGGTTCAGAAACTTCGTCCTCTTCGGGCTCTGGTTCCGGTTCTACTGTGGTTTTCCACATTATCCGATCACACCAGCTGGGCACCCGTTTCTTGTGCGACGAATCGTATACGCCTTTCTCGTCATTGTCGTCGTCTTCGTCGCTGGGAAGACTAGATTTGGTAGAATTAACTAAGATCATCGGCGGGGGTCGCAGATGGCTCTGGTCGAGGGCATCCAGCGAAGAGGGGGCTTCTGGTGTCAATCTAGGAGTCAGAAGCCCATTCGACGTCACGTCAACTGAACTATGTGCTGTATGAGGTTTCCTTCCTCCGCCTTCGTTCAATTTCGTTTGAGGCGCCTTGCTTTTACCCGATGAAAGCAGCGCAAGCCATTTCGCCTTGGCTCGATGGGCAGCAAGGGACACCTTGCTCGAGGAGGTGGCCATTGTTTGGGAGGATGGGGACGTATAGAAGTCGTCCTCATCAAATTCACGATCGGTGCCGGCCCGTGAATGTGCAGAGGTCCAGATAGATGACGCCATAGACGCGCCTTCCTCACCTTCACCCTCCTCTTCTGCTTCTTCCTTCTCAAGCTCTTCAAGCTCTCTTTCCTCGACCTCTGTCAGCCTGTGAGACCTCTCATCCAGACGCCTCCAACGGTCCATCCTGGATCCTGTTCGTTTGACGCGCTTGAGTGTGCGGAGGACGTCATACTTGAAAGTAGGAGGAAAGTTGATTAGTGCCTCGTTAAATCCAACAAAAGCTTCGCCGCTTTTCATGAGTTTAGTGAGCTGGTCAAAGGCGAGTGCTTGGGCATATTCTATCCCATGATGAGTAAATATGATGGATAGGGCGTGGGCAGGTGTTTCACCTTTTCTTGACATTAGCCAGTCTGCATGTAATCGAGATATGTCCAGCCGAAAATTGAGATCGCCACAAAGAAATGTGTAGTCAAATTTGTCAGTAAGATCTTGGGCGCAAAATTAGCAAGGTCGGTGCTGCATAGTTGTCTTAAGTACCTTCGGCCATCACCCTTGGATCGTCGTTCGCCAGGAAATCGTCAACAGAAAGCTCTGCCTGCGATTTCGGTTGAGTATATGTTTACGGATCGTCTACAAATGGGTACCTTGATTTTGGCCAAGTTGGACAACCTATGCTTCACTTTTCCTTCGTGCGCTGGAGAAGATGTTTGAATAAAAGGACGCCAGCTAGAGCGGGACTTGACATACCAGCAAGGTGTGCATTGAGAAACAGGAATGTTGTGCCATTCAGGTTGATCGTAATCCCTACTCCTCCCTTGTTCCCTACTCGCCCCCCTATGAGGCCAGCAGTCACAGCGGAACGCGATGTACCTATGATAATGTTGTTATTGTGGCATAAATAATATCATCCGTGAACGCCTACCTCGGACAAGAGGTCGCATTTCACGATGGATGTAAACCGACAGGTATATACCCATCATGCGCTCCTTGATAAGCAATTGATATGGGCCCTTTCGCACCTCCTTGACTGGCGGACGCGGCGTGAGGGGCTTAGGAGAGCCGACGTCGGCGACTGTGGGCGAAGCAGTACGTAGTCCAGATCCGCTCCCTTGGCATAGCCAATCTTCCATCATGGATGTCCACCCAGAGAGGGCTTCATGCTGCACCTCCTCTGGACTCTTGCGCGTGCGTGAAGCCTCGTCCCTTTCCTTATCCTTATGCCTCGACCGCGGCTTGTCGTATTCTGTATCTCGTTCTCTAGCCTTCTCCTTTTCTCTATCGCGACTCTTATCCTTCTCTCTATCCTTGTCTATCAGTTTAAACCCAGCGCCTAAACCCATAGGAATTCCTGACAGAATTTCGCAATCAGGTGGAATAACAATAATATAAGGCTGCCCAGACGTACCAGACAAGGATGGGCATTCCTGTCCTGCACTAGATTTTGCTAAGTGAGCTATTCGTGGATTGGTGTACATATTGCTTACACCACGACAAGGTGATAAGGATGGCCTGCTTCGACTGGGAATTCTGGAATCACTCCAGAGGGGTCAGCGCTTGTTGAACTCCACAGAGGGACCTTTCCCAGAAGCTCCTCCAAGTCGCCCTAGGAATGTCACCAGATTAGACTGCTATCTTGGTACGAGCACATGAACGTACCTTTGGCACTGAATCATGCATATTCCACGTTATAATGCGGATCTTGAGAGGTTTCCGTCGAGCTATAGTCGGTTTCGGAGGAGGAAGAGGTGGGAGTGCTTTTTCTGGCATAGAACGTGGCGCACTAGTGCTGGATGTCGAACCTGTTTGTGAGGACGTCGGTGGAAAGAGTCCCTGCAGCCTCGAGAATACGGCTGTTTGCTGAGCTGTGGCCAGAAAGGCATGTGGATATGTAGTCAGACGGAAATGCCAAAATAAAGCTGACCTGGACGCTGCCCAGAGCCTGTCATCGTGGTTGCCCTTGGTCGATGGGTCTTCGAACTCATGGGCATTGGTTACGTGGAGCTACAGAAGATGTATAGGAAAGCGCAGCGCTGGGCACTGAAACGCGCATTTAAGCTTGAGCACACATGAGGTCGCGAGTGCCCTGGCCCGTGCAGTCACTGCACTCAGCACAATTGGCCATGTTATCTATTGTCACGAGTATTGTCACGTTCACGCGTCTTGGCAACGACTTTGCCCACAAACGATTGTTCCAACACTGTATATTGAATACTGAGTACTGAGTACTGATGGTCTACTTACCTTGTCTGCTTCCACCGCTTCCTCCCATCTTCCACAGTGTAATTCTCGTTCTCAATTCTGTACTTACTTGCATGCTCAGGCGTATGTCGAAGCTATTGTCATCTGCCGCCTAACAACCGTCAGGGGGCATAGCTCAGTTGGGAGAGCAGCAGACTGAAGCCTCATCTTCAAGGAAAATCATCTTTCTGAAGGTCCCGCGTTCAATCCGCGGTGCCCCCAAACACATCCCTTTTTTTTCTGTCCTGACTCTTTTCTCAGACTGCAGTAGTCTATGCGATATGGCAGTGGGCACCTATTTGTCCCCTGGTTTTACTCTAATCCTAGGTGAGCCTGGTCCTGGTCCGCCACCTTCATCACCAAGGTGATGATGTGCGCCTCGACATCGTCCCGAAAAGTTCGAGCCAAATGATGAGAACACGAATAGAGGCGCAGCAGCTGCTTAGACCTTGGCTTCATTTCGTCAAGTCGCGGATAGCACTCGAACCAGTAGGACTGCGTTACGGTTTTCCGAGCCACAACCCTTCTTTCAACCTCAGGCTTCTCAAAATCTCAGCTTCAACTCGCATATGATTAGGCTGATGTCTTGACTTCATGATCGCTAAACATCACCGCCCGACTACTTTAGAGCCATGTTTCTTTCGTGTGTATGTGATCCTGACCCACACATTTCTAGGACTTACACATTCTACAATGTAGCAGTTCAACGATCTGCTTTGGCGAGCTCCCACTTATCGACCTCCCTGCGACGATATGATTTAGTTTTCCAGGCAAGTCTTTCACATCTGTTCGAGGGACGCCGGACCAGGTTTCCGAGCATTCCTATCCTTGCTGGAATCGAAATTCCGACCATGTGCAATTTTTCGGTACATCCTATGCCATCTGGTCCAAATTCTAGTCATTCTCAATGTGAGCGGTCGCTCTGCTTGCTGCTGACAGAGGAAGCTGCTTCATTGGCTAAAGTTTGTCCCTCACATCGATCCTTTCTTGGTTCTCAAAATGTCACAAGCAATACGATAGCTATTAGCGATGACTGCTGAACAGGAACGTGTGGTCCGTATTAATATCATCCTTACCGCGTGCCACTGGTCTTTGAATCGTCGGCACGTTTAATATAGCGAGCAACAAGTCAGGCTAGCGCGGCGTCTAACATTATTTTGTGCGTGGCAGGCGGACCGGGTTCTCCATCTCAGGATTCCTATGCACCTGTTGGTTTCTACGGCATGCAGTACGACATACCAGGTCACGCAGTTGGCCACATGTCAGACACAGCTCCGTAGCAGATCCAACACGCTATAGTCGATCTCCTTTTCTCCTCCAACGCATTAGTGAACATCACACGTCTCGCGTGCAACCCTGACCCTACACGGCCGTTCAATCTCATGGTCGCCCAATCGCTGGCAAGGGAACCAAGCCTGTCTCACCCGGAACTCGAAGTGGAAAACACTGAATGACAATATAGCTAGCATCCCGTGAACAAGCTGTCGTAGTGGTTTCCCCCAATCTCCATCTCGCCTGGGACAGAGCAGCCGATTCCAAGTAAACCAGGACCCTTGAACTTACCGATAAGGTTGCTCGCCTGGACATGTCAGTTAGACGTCTCAACTCAACTGTGATTGCCGTGTTGACGCACCTATTATTTTTGCAGCCTTATATCGTTCAATTGAGTTATGGAGGCCGTTGCCAACAGACCCGTCTTTTGACCCACTGTCGCAGCTTTGTACATAGATCTACTACACGCAGTTGGCCCAAAATTTCTGACCGCCTACCGTTATATGAACTAATTTCTCGGTGGACAAACTGAGGCTTATTAAGGGTTTGTCTCTTGGGTCTATATCCACCGTCTCATGCTAGGCCTTTATGCGCAATGAAGGTTGGCAGTACGATTACTACTGATAAACAGGTCATTGAAAGCAATTGATTCGACTCGATTTAGGTACAATGTCTACGATAAACTGAACATACATGATACAGAAAGTCCAGACAGCGATGCGTATACTGTATGTGGTACAGACAAAGACTCGAAAGCATGTGCGAATTGAATTAGCTGGCGGATGTAATAAATTATGTCGACGGCGTTTCCTAGGCTGCGACGGGAAGATTGTAAAGCCGTTTAACGTACTCGACGGTTGCTTTGTCTCCAGTGTTCTGTTAAACAATGAGACCACGCAACTCAGTGAGGCAGGCAGGCGGAATGCGTACCTTAGTCAGGTCGTCACTAATCTTGATACAGGGCTTGCCATCGACTGACGACAGCTTGATGACAATGTTCAAGGGCTTGCTCTTCTCGGTTCCTCCGCTCGACGCGGTCTTGAAGTCGTTCGTGAAGAAGGTGCCGATGCCAAACGAGACTATAGGTGGTTTTAGCCGTAAAACCGGACACGAGAATGACAAGGGAAGTCACATACCTTTCTCGAGACCGAGTTCATCGGCTTGCTTCTGCAAACGAATGGCCTTGTCGATATTCAGGGAGTCGGAGTAGACAATAAGCTTCTGCCGAGGGTCGATTCCTAGGGACTCATACATCGCCTTCACACGCGGACCAAAAGTGAAAGGGTCTCCAGAATCTTGGCGCAGGCCCGTCCATCTGCGTGGGCGCTCTGGATCTGACGTAAAGTCCTGTGCACATCATGTTATCCTCATTTGCTCTTTTGACCAAAGATGGAGGTGGTCACAACGTGCCTTGAAGAACGCGTCAGTGGAGAAGGTGTCAGTCAGCGCGATCAGAACTGAGTCGCGATACACGGACTCCCAAAGGTCCAGCGACACGTTGTGAGTGTGCTCGTATCCCTTTAATGCCGCGACCTGGCGTTTAAACTGTTCATTTGGCATTCACAAAAGAAGGACGGCCGCCTTACACCCATGAACCATTCACTGCAAATGACACCGTCAGATGAATAGACCGTGAGGTGCGAGGATCAGACGACTTACTGTGCAATTGTGCCAATGGGGGTAAGACCATACTTGTGGGCGAAGTGCGCCTGCGGCATGTTTAGCGAAAGCCCGCGGGGCGGCCGAAATCGAAGACCTTACGTTGCTCGTCCCGGTGAACCGTCCTTTGCCAGAAACGTCGCGTGATGCGCGGACGAGAGATGTCACCACGATATCTTGTGTCTTGTAAGAGCGTCGCCGTCTGGTCCCGAACTCACTGAATGCACAGCCTGCCTCGATGAGAGCACGACCTTTATCGAACGCCAAACCTTTCGGAGCAATCAGGTTAGAGGGATGCGCGGTAGCATTGTCCGAGGATCGACTCACGGTCTTGGTTGTCGTAGTTCCAATCCGTCATGACTAAGTGAAAGTATATTTCGCTCAGAGACGCCATTAGCGGTACCTCCCACATGATAGTCTCTATCCAGGGGCCAAAGGCCTCGATTTCCACATTTCCCAGCAGGCCGTCGGCAGAAACTGGCACAAACGTGATGCGAACCTGTTCGGGCTTGTACCGGTATGCCGAGAGGTACGACAGGTACGCAGGAGTGAAATATGGACAGGTCGTCCGAAGCCATTCGTGTTCTTCTGCCGTCAATGACAGATCCGTGAATTCTATTGGGTCATCGGTGAGGTCAGGCAGGGAGTCATAGTTTGAGGGCATGAGCACGAACGAGAGACGGCGGTCCTGAATTGCTCGATACATTGGCGGGAAAAAAGCGTTGACTTGTCACGATTTGTGAAGCGATAAGTGGCCTGCACGTTAGGAAAGTGGTGCAGCACAGCTTGCTGCATGGTCAACTAGAAGTGGCTCAACATCGATGGAGATCGTTCATCGCGAGAGTGGGTACCTTGTAGAGATCGGTGTCGAGAATGGAGGTGGGTGAGGGGGCAAATGAAGCAGACATGGTGGTTGAAGCGTAAGGAGTGAGACAGTGGCCAGGCAGTTAAGTAGGGATTTTGGATCGAGCGGACTAGCGGAATGGGGGTAACGGAGCACCAGGGCGCTTCTTCCGAACCGCATTGCCAGGGTCGAATACAACTCTCATCACGCTTTCATCCCTGTCCATCGTGATCACAACTCTTTCTTCACGCGATCATCTACCCTTCACTTCCTTGTTCTTGGTTCACCTGCAATATGGTCCGGTTTGCCAACCATCATCTCTACATTCTAGTGCTAATCTACCCCCAGGGTTCAAGGGTGGAGATACTCAACGAGGGCGGCTTTCGTTCCGATGGCAGACGCCAGTTCGAGCTGCGCGACATGACCATCGATCTCTCCCAGCAAGGCCAGGCAGATGGTTCGGCCATTATCACCCATGGATTGACTCAAGTCCTCGTTTCTGTTTTTGGACCCAGAGAGGCCAAAATGCGTTCACAAACTATCCACGATCGTGCCAATATCAACGTCGAAGTCAACGTTGCTGCGTTTAGCACCGGTGAGCGGCGGAAACGGACGCGTGGTGATAAGTGAGTCTTCTCTTTCGTCCACGGACGATCTGCACTAACAGGAAAAAAAATTGATTGACAACCGTAGACGTATCCTTGAACTCGCCGCCACCATCAAATCTACCTTTGAGCCTGTTGTTCAAACGAACCTGTATCCCCGTTCACAGATTGACGTATTTGTCCAAGTGCTGCAACAGGACGGCGGACTACTCCAAGCATGTATTAATGGGACTACTCTGGCCTTGGTTAACGCTGGTATACCACTACTGGACTTTGTCTGCGCTGTCACGGGCGGCGTGCATTCCACATCCCCCCTGCTTGATCTCACGCTACTGGAAGAAAACGATATTCCGAATGTTACAGTTGCCATGATGCCCAAGACGGGCAAGGTCACTTTGGTGACGATGGAGACGCGTTTACATGTGGATAGATTTGAGGAAATATTTAGGCTGGCAGGTGATGCTGGGAAGGTCATTCATAGGGAGATGAAGAGTGCGGTTCGATCAAGAACGGGTGCGCTTGTCGCGGCCATGGGTTCGGGGCACCGAGTAGGTGGTATGGACTCAGCCGACAAGGACGGTGACGATCGGATGAATGAATATTGACCGGTGTACAAACTGAACGCCTACCTGAGAAGCCTCAAGAGCAAGCCTGACAGTGACAGTGAATGCGTGCCAGCCACCAGGTGCCAGCCATATATGTCCACATCACGCCCTTTTATTCCCGCTGCACTTCGATTCGTTTGAAACAGGCAAGCCATTTCTCACCACGATTTCTCTCCACCTTCTTTCCCTCTTCTGTGCTTGTGTAGACGGCGTCGATGATCGGACCTTTGCCCTCTG